TAGCGGGCATTTGGTGCGGGCAAATGGGGGGGGGGGCCGTATGTTTAGGAAAAGCTTTGGTGTCAACCAACATTATGTAAAAGAACATCCCGGGCAGTTTGCTAGGCTTGGCTTTGGTTCTTTCACTCTGCATTCAGGTCTGCAGGACACAGGGTCGAGGAGATCAGATTATCATGGGTCAGCTTGGCTCATGCCCTCGATTCACGGCACTGCGAGCTACCAAAGTATTTCAGGGTACAACTGGCCGTCGAATGTCATGGCGTGCCGTAGTGCTGGGATTTTGCTGTCTAAGCACGGGTGAAATTTGAAAATAGGTTGACCTTTTCTTTTGCTTAAAGAGCTCCATAAAGGTGTGAAATTTTATAAGTAAATCAACCTTTTTTGGTTAAAGAGGTCTATGGGGAATATACAAGTTTTTTTTTTGCTTAAAAAGGTGACCCCCTTTAACCCTCTCTTAAACCTCCTCTTACGCCTTGAAACCTCTTTATCCTAGTCCAGGGTGAATCCTTTCGGTCCTCCAGAAGCAATGACTGACCACCATTGTTTTTTGAGTAGTCTTGTCTGGCATAGAAATACAAACTACGCAACATCCCAGTTTGGGCTTGTGGCGCCAGACCCCACATAGCAGAAAACCTTTTGATGGGCGACGCTGGCTTTCGCTGTCCCGTATAAATCCTACCGGGTAGGGGGTCCCCCCAATAGACCTCCAAATGCTGTAATCCTTGCAGTGGGGACCAACTCCTTAGCTTGCCTAGCCCAGTGACGCGCAAGGCTTGATTGTTCCTTGGGGCTTGCACCATCCATTCCTGGCGTTTGCTGCGATGCCACGAGGAAGTTCCCCTGAAGGCAGAGCAATCACTGGCATTCAAAGTGTTGGTTATCTGAGAGTGGTTGATTAAAGGCGCCGTATCTTGCAGGGGGTTCACGAAGAGAACAGATCAGCCCGTTCATGGGCCAATGGCCCAACTCCAAGTCTCTCCTGGCCCTCATAATGTGGATGCGGACAAGCGGGCCTGGGTTTCTGAGACAAAGCTGCCAATCTTGCAAAGGTGTCTTGACAAAGCCTACCATTTCGAGGAAAAAAAAATCTGGGTGCAAGAGAATTGCAAGGGAACAAAAGATTAATGAAGAAAGCAACACCAAGCAAGAAATCTCTGCGAAGGAAAATCAGGTTGAGGGATTTTGAGGGATCGCCAACATCAGGTACGCGCTTGATGAATCTTGATAGACCTTCGCGCACGTCTTTGCTCATCGGAGGCTGACGGCATGCTTCCTAACCCATGCCCTCTTCCCCCTCCGTCCCAGGTCAGAGCGTGGTCTGCTGACCGCTCCTGAGTTCCTCGATCCCAGAGCAGACTTTTGAGAGGTAATACTTTGTGCGAAGGGAGTGCCTGCAGTATCCATGTCAACGGAGGCCCTGAAGCCTGGGTGTTCTTTGCCGTAACCTTTAGACGATGGACCACATGGAGCCTAACAACTCTGCCAACTTTGAAATTCCATCTGAACATGCGAAGCTCGACCTGAAAGACCCAGCCTTCGAGCTATGGAGCCGCAAGATCAGGCATTCCTCTAGAAGCCTGACGTTGCAAGACAGGTCAAACCAGAAAGGATGCAACTATTCGATCAGAAGCCCTGAACATGTGATCCCAGACCCGCACACAGAAATACCAGGCTGCAACCTTACCATTTAGAGATCCAGTGTGGGTTTGAATGGATCAAGCCAATCAGAGGCTTAAACAGGTAGGGGCGCCTGTTGTTGATGACTTGGGATCATGCTTCGTACTATTTCAAGGCTACGGAAGGGGGTTCCTGCTGTTACTGAACTGGCAAAAGTAAAACTAGTAACTGTTGCAGTAATCACAGTACCAGCAATCATAGTGGTAGTAGTAGTACTAGTACATCGTGATGGTTCTGACGCTATAACCATAATGATGTGAGTGGGATCGCATTAGTAACACTACAGTACTACTAGAATACTGATGATAACTGTAATTGCAATGGTACTGTAGCACTGACAACATCATCGCAATTGAGGTTTCAAGAGAGCGCCAAACTTGGGAGCCCAACATGAGCTCACCACCTTCCTCTGAAAGGCCTGGAGAGAGCTGCGAAGGCCTGCATGGTGTGGGAAATAATGGCACGTCCCTAAATTGTGTGCCTTCAGCGAAATTACGAAGGCGAGTGCCAAACGCATTACTTGGGGAAATGTAGACTCCTGATTAAGTTTTGAAAGTACCCACATCCTTGGCTTGCGTCTGGTGGGCATAGCTCCTCGTAAAGGGCTTTAGGTAGTGGTTTAGTTTTTTTGTTTTTTGTCGCGCCTTTCGCTAGGGCCAGCCGGTTTAGGGTTTGGGTCTCTGGTCTTGACATGGTGTACTAACATGGAACCTTCAATGAAAAAATTGGGGCCTGCAAGAAAAAGACAAGATTGTGGATTGCACGCTGCAAGGACATAGCATCAACTGATGCAGCGCGGTAACAGCCAGGATGAATTGTGGGTACTGAAAGTCACCTTGGGTACTTAGCGTCATGCAGGAGGTTTAGTATCCTCCGAAGGAATAAAGTTTTCACACCAACCAAGAGAATGAGTAATCAGGACTGTAAGGGAATGCAAGGGATATTTGTTACTTCTTACTTTACCACTACTAGTTGAGGAGGACCTCCCGAATGATTCAAGCAAAGCTGCCTCCGACCCGTGCTCGCCTTGCGTTCCCACAATCTCAGCCTCAGGAAGCCATGGACAAGTCTTAGCTATCCCGAGCACCTTTTAGCAGATTTTAGCACAGTTGAATGACTCTTTTGAATATGAGAAACAATGACCAAAAGAGACTAATACCTTACTCTATCTTGGGGTCTATGGTATTATAGTATCTCTATTCGAATACTATGCAGTTGTCTTTCCAACCCTGCCGACCTGACGCATTGGGCTGAATCTAAGTAACTTGCTGGCCACGCGAGACCTCGCCAGCCTCACATTGCGGAGCAAGGTTGAATTTAGACACTCTGAATTTGCGCTGCGGACTTACAGATAGCTCTTACAGCTGAAATTCGTGGGTGTGGATATTCGGATCTATCTCAGACGCTCACATGCTGTTGACCGCAGGTGATCGAACCAGCGGTCTCCCCACAAGTCAAGAGCCCTTTCACAGCAATTTGCAGTTCATGAATACACAAATAGCTTGTTGAAGGTGAACAACTTTGGCTATCAGCTTCTGCTCATGTATTATCATAACGCTGCACGGGGAATACTTAAATGGCTTTTCTTGTCATGAACAAGTTTGATTTTCAGCATGTGCTCAAGCATCATCATAGCGCTGTAGGACGATGAGGTTGCAGCAAGAAGCTTCAAGTTAGATGAGAAACCGACAATTTGTATTAATTCCATTATGGTTATTACTAGAATTACTTGTTTTCACTACAACGCCACTACTACTACTACTACTACTACTTCTACTACTACTACTACTACGACTACTACTACTACTACTACCACTACTACTACCACCACGGCTACTGTTTACTGCTATTGTTTCGATGTACCTCCCCCCTTCCCCAGGCTGCCCGGCAAACCGCGCCACGGTTCTCGGAGGACGCTCCGAGACACGCGCAGAGGGCCGGTTAAAGCCTTCGGCTGCGCTCTAGAATTAGGGTGGAATAGTAAGAATAATGATAGTAGTAGTAATAATGGCAGTAAAAATAAAGGTATCAAAAACATGCGTAATACCAATAGAATCCTGCTCTCCCTTTTGGGACTTCTAGTCTTGAAGCGGAACAAGCTGAAGCAGATGAGGAGAATGTTCGCAAGTAAAGTAAACTTGTTACAGGGCTCTGGGCTCGGGGTGGAACTAGATTCTCCATGCTTGAGGTCAAGGCATTGCTGGGTGGAACTTGGCAAGCTGGCTAAGCTTCTGTGACAACATAGAGACTGATCTCCGATCACTTCGGAATCTCAGAAAGCCGAGGTAGGGACATATTGTTACTAATATCGTTATTACTACCATTATCAGCACTGTTGTTTTTACTACTATATAGTTACTATAGTTACTATTATTACTGTTATTACTACTATTACTCGTAGTACTTACCACTACTAAGTTACCATTACTACTATTATTCCACCCTGAACCCTAAACCTGAAGCCCTGGGGCAGGGACCATATTTGCGAAGAAGGCCCTCCAGGGGACCACCACGCAGTTGATTTGCCTTGGTCCAAGTTCTCGCCCAAACCCAGCCGCAACCCGCAAGACCAGAAGCCCCAGAAGGAAGAATACTACTACGTAACAATGACAATAGCATTTAGGGTTTAGGATAATATTAATACTTGCAGTAATAATGGTTGTAAAAACTGTAATAATAGGAATATTGAGGGTAATTTGAATTACAGTAGTGAAGATACCTGCTTTTCATGGAAAATCAAATGGATAAGAAAATGGAACATGAAACGGAAACAGGGCTAGGTGTACTAACAATACTGCTACTAACAATACTGCTACCAACAAAAATTATAATCAGAATAATGTAAGAAGACCCATCCATCAGGATTTCTGAGCACTATGGCTGGAATAGCGCGGAACTTGTGCATCATGGTAGCGTCCGTCTGCATGGGCTCGATCTGTACCTGCCGGAGTTCTTGCGAGGCATGGCATCCTCACGCCAAGGCTCGACTCAAGCCCTAAAACCGGAACCCCAAACCCCAAGCCCCCAACCCCAAACCCTAAAGCTCAAACCCGAAATCCTAGACCCCAAGTCCTAAACCCTAAATCCCAAAATTGGGGAGTCCAAAGCCGGCTGCACAAAGCCTTGCCTCCACTCCAAGCCGCTGGCAATCCGCCTCCTCTGCCCAAACCCAAAGTCTCAGCGGAAGCTGCACGCAAGCACTGTCATTACCAAGACTCCTAATCATACTGATAGTCATGGTATTACAACTACTGCTACTATTGCTACAAACTGCATTACTACTACTGCTACTAGTGGTACGCATATTGCTTGGCTACAAGCTGTGGTCGGCTTTAAGGCTTTGAGGTGCTCCTTTGTTTCCTTGAGGGCTCCCGAAGCTACTACTTACTGTACGTGGCGCGTTCAGAGCCATAGAAATGCCAGTACAAAGTTGGAAACTTAACGATGCAGCATCTGGAGGTACAGAGGCTGAAGGTGGGTAAGCCATTTCGGGATGTCTAATTGAAAGGAAACAACGGAGGGAAACAGAGGTCATATCTCCAGAGAAAAGATTACTGGTCCTATGGAGATTCTGTCCTTCCACGGTTGACTTCAGATCTTGGTCTCAGCTTATGAAATAATGAATGACTCAAATGATAGAAGACTAGAATATCTTTCTTTAGCTCCTAGTACATCCTAATGGTAAGAATGAAAGAAACTAGTGATAGAGACTTCCAGGAGACTGTCAATAAGATTCCAGAACTTCCTGTCTTGCGGCACCTTGATTCATGTCTCCACTTCATGAGTACACGCGGTTAGTACAAGTATCACTTTAACAGGTGAAGTTGAAATGCGAAGGCGACCTGCTGATCACAAAGTACACATAGCCTTGGTAAACTTATATCAAGTTATGGCAGTTTCCCAAAATAGGGGGACCCCAATATAGACCCCAAAATACTATAATCCTTATTCTGGGGACCCCCAAAATGGTACCCCTAATGTTGGGAACCCCCCTTATGAAGAATACTAATAAGACAAATACTTAAACTGGTAGGAATACTCATAGCGCTAAGGAGACTGAGGCAGCTGGCATATCATCCGCCGGCAGCGTGGAAGTTTGGAATGGCCGCTCACCGGGTATGCCAATCTGTGACCTGCTGATAGGTTTAGGGTTTAGGGCTNNGGTTTTAGGGTTTAAGGTTTAGGGCATTGCAGACCACGCTGCTGCTGCTCAAAGTGTGCTTCTTTCATCATATTACGCGAATCATGGAGAATAAAATGGAAAGGAACGTAGAACATGAAATGGGAACTGGTGGCTCAACACTGAAGACCTTGTAGCTTCCATAATTTTAGAGGGACCCCAATATATAGGCCCCAATATACTATAATTATGGGCATCCCCAAAGTGGTAGTCCTTAAAAATTTGGAAACTGTAATCTCTATGAAACCACTCAATAATCTCAGTGTCCATTGCATTGTCCGTTGTCTTGTCCATTTGATTCGCCATTACTGTTCGGGAATCTCCCAAACCCTAATTTGGGGAAACCCCCAGTTACAGCTGAGACAGGGGCAACTTTGATCGACCTGCGTCCTGATTCACCACAGCCTTTGTGCGCGGGGCGAAGGCCGCAGATAGGTGAGATTTAGGGCTTAGGGTCTAGGGATTAGGGTTTAGGGCTTATGAAATGTTACCCCTATATTGGAAAATCCGACGGAAAAGAGGATATACCACTTCGCTCTGGTTCCTACGTAGGGAGCGAAGGGATGGAAAAGAGATAGAAACTCCCATTTAGGGATTGCTTGCCTGTCATCAATTCAGCACCTCTGCAATGGCTCTGTCTGTGGCGAACTTCATTCCGAATTACTTGAAGGTTCCTCCAAGAACTGTCCTTCCACAAAGCCCCAAAGTGTACAAGTCAGCATTTTTGTTGGCATGAACAAGACTTCAAATGCATCTGTCCACATGACATCTGTCCACGTGACAAACAGGGCCCGGGTCGGCGGCATCAAAGTAGTGTCGACGACGCACTTCAATTACTCCTGACCATAAGCAGCCCCTCTCGAACATCTACAGAGGAATGCTTTCTTGGTGACTGAACCAAATCAGATTAGAACCCTCTTATATGTAACACGAGAACAAAAGAAGAGTACTAGCTTACAACTACATCGTGGACAACAGAACCCTGCTTCAAGCAATACTACAGCGTGGTCGTTCGTGTCAAGTCCTGGGAACTCTTGCGACTCGAACTTCTCGGTGGCCACCTTCCAATCTTGGACTATTCTTTTTTCGGTGTGTGTAGTTTCGGTTTTTTTTTTTAATGTTTATAGGCTCTTGGTAGGGTAGTGTAGGGTCTAGGGTTTCATTCAGATTTGGGTTAAGGGCCCAGGGTTAGGGAATACAAATCCAGGATCAAAGCTGTGGACATGGTTGGCGCAACACGCTTTGCAGTACCACTACGGCACATCCGCCTGCCAAGATTTAAACTGGCCTTCGCGAAGCTCAAAAACATTCTAGTTTGCACTTGCTCTGCCTTTCAATCCTTCTCAACAAATGCCCCCAGCCTTCTCTGGTAAACCCCATGATACACCCATCATCAGCCATCTAGGGTGTGCATTGCTTCAGGCGATGGCTACAAGCATGCTGCAACCAACGAACTCTTAGCTCGTCCGGAAGCCACCTACCTGGGAAGAGCTCCAACCAACTTGTCAATCGGCATCTCTTTGGACTTCAGTTGTGCGACTTAAAGAAGCCGCGACTACCAGCAAGAGCAGACAGCATGCGCAAGAACCCAGATCTATCCAGATCCTGACAACCCAGGATTCACTGCGGGCTGTGTTCGTTGTTTTCCAGCCTCCACGGAAGCTGTGGAGTCAAAAACCTGGCAGAAGTGGCTGCACCTTCTTACGTGCTTAGGGAATAGTTGCATACCATTCCTATTTCATCCCTGTGGAATATATGCCCTTAGTCCTTACTAACTCCAGCTTGGGACTTTATTGTGGGCCGGCTACGGGCCAGGCAAGGCGTTAACAGATCCTATGTGCTTCACTGTTGATCATGGAGCCTCATATAGATCATTGATGCAGGGACCCCAGCAAGGTGACCTTGATCTTATGAGCAGATTGCAAGCCTCCAAGGGACGACCTGACATGTTCAGAAGGGGTCTTTCCAAACTTTTGACGCATGCCCTCACAAGATGCAGTCGCCTGTAGCGTCTCTGGCTTTGCGTGGAGCTGCTCTGCAATCATGGAGTCAATTGCCTCGCCGCAAAGAAGAAAAATCCAGAATTGCGCAGGCACACCTCAAACATGGCAGAGCAGTGAGAACAAGAAGCATAACGATGATGGCTTTGCGATTGATGTCCATTCTTTTAGAGCTTAGGGTTGGTGAGACTGCTTTGAAGCTAGTCTTCGCTGGTTGACAGCCAGCGAATCTCTGGAATCTTTTCCTCACCTGCCGGAGCTCCGCAAGGCCCCCGAGACGGCCAACGCCTCCTCCACCTCTCAGCGGCTTACAGTCGCCCTTAAGGCGATAAAATATGGAGCTTACCTGGATCGTATTGTTGTTTTGAGGGAATTGCAGACTCTATCTACTTTCGGAGGACTATACTGGTGAAGACCTGTTTAAGACAGAGTGGGGTGGATCGGTGGTTTCCCATAATCGTCCCCATGCAGGCCCCCTATACCACCACTTACTACCTATGGTTCCTTCCCCCAGTCTCGGTAAGAGTGTTTACTTTTTTGTTGTCTGGTCTTTTTTGTTGTTTGGGCTTTTCGGGTGTTATGTTTTTTGCTGTTTGGGAGGTGGCGTGTTTTATTTTTTTTGCTGTTTGGGC